GGAAGAAGGTATCCGCACGGATCCAGAGAAAATTGCTGCTGTCAAGGAGTGGCCGGTCCCAAAAGACAAGACACAGGTTAGAGCATTTTTGGGTTTGTACTCTTATTATCGGCGATTTGTGAAGAACTTTGCAGATATAGCCAAACCTCTGCACAAGCTAACCGAGGAGAAGCGACAATTCTGCTGGGATGAAAGTTGCGATATTGCATTCCAGGAGCTCAAGGACTGTCTGTGCAAAACACCTATTTTGGGGTACCCTGATGCGGGCAAGGAATTCATAGTTGACACAGACGCAAGTGATATAGGACTTGGCGGTGTGTTGTCTCAACGGAATGGTGATCAAGAGATTGTGATAGCTTACTTCAGTAAGTCGTTGTCAAAGCCGGAAAGGAACTATTGTGTCACAAGACGGGAATTGCTTGCTGTGGTAAAGTCCTTGCAGCATTTTAGCAAATATCTTCTAGGGCGGAAATTCCACTTACGAACTGACCATGCTGCACTGAAATGGCTATTGCAGTTCAAAAATCCGGAAGGACAAGTTGCGAGATGGATTGAACTACTGCAGGAATACGACTTTGTGATCGAACATCGCAGCGGGAAATCTCATGGCAATGCAGATGCATTGTCATGAAGACCTTGCCCTGAAGATTGCAAGCATTGTACTAGGCAAGAGGGTAAGGAAGTGGTATCTGTGAGAATGCTCAGGACAGACCAGCTCAGCAATGAGTGGAAGGACAGCCTACAACATGCACAGCAGGAAGATTCGGACATTAAGCCGATTCTGGAATGGATGAAGGCCAGTGCTCCTAAACCCAAGTGGAGCGACGTCTCAGCAATGAGTTCGACCACGAAAAGCTATTGGGCCCAATGGGACAGCTTGCTGATTCAGGATGGAGTGCTGTGTCGTAAATGGGAAAATGGTCGAGGAGACAGGTGTCATTTGCAAATGGTTGTCCCTAAGGCTAAAGTGCCGGATATTCTACAGCTGTACCATAGTGGTTGTTCAAGAGGCCACCTGGGAGTTAAACGAACTCTCCTGAAGATCCGAGAATGGTTTTACTGGGTCCACTATCGTGACGATGTCGAGAACTGGTGCCGCAAATGTTCAAGTTGTGCGGCTGTAAAGGGACCTCAAATTCGTTGTAGAGGCGCATTGAAATTGTACAATGTTGGTGCACCATGGGAGAGGATAGCCATTGACGTTGCGGGGCCGTTTCCAGAAACTGAAAGTGGTAACAAGTATTTCATGGTTGTGATGGATTACTTCACTAAGTGGCCAGAAGTCTTCGCCATTCCAAATCAAGAAGCTTCAACAGTTGCAGATAAACTAGTTCATGAAGTCTTCTATCGTTTTGGAGTACCTTTAGAGATTCACAGCGATCAAGGAAGGAATTTTGAGTCTCAAATATTCCAAGAAACTTGCCGAGTTATGGGTACTCAGAAAACACGAACAACTTCTTACCACCCACAATCCGATGGAATGGTAGAAAGATTTAATCAGACATTGGAGAGGTACCTAGCAAAAGTTGTGGAAAAACGGCAACGAGACTGGGACAGGCACATACAACCGTTTTTGTTGTCATATCGAAGCGCTGTTCACGAAAGTACATCAGTGACACCAGCTTTCGTAAACTTTGGGAGAGAATTGCGGCTGCCTGCAGACCTGATCACCGGGATACCACCTGATGCCCCACGTAGTATAACCGATTATGCAAATGACTTGCGGAACAAAATGAATGACATTTATGAGCACGTCAGACAGACGGGCCAGCAAACGTCTGAGAAGATGAAAACACGGTATGACCGCAAAATGAACAACAAGGGGTTTGATGAAGGTTCACTAGTGTGGTTACACAATCCAATTCGCAGCAAAGGGAAATCTCCTAAGCTTCAACCTAAATGGGACGGACCGTACCGGATTGTGACAAGGATCAATGACGTAACCTACCGGATACAGAAAGGTGTCAGAGGTACTCCTAAGATTGTCCATGTGGATCGACTGGCGCGTTATTATGGGGCCAATAATGCTCGGGACGAGCATGTCTTAGGAGGGGGCAGTGTTACGCGCCACTATTAATGTCTTGTACATGGCAACACTAGTTACACTAGCGCCCTCTAGTGTCGAGTAAGAGAAAGTGTTGCGCGCCACTATTAATGTCTTGTACATGGCAACACTAGTTACACTAGCGCCCTCTAGTGTCGAGTAGCAGAACTAGGAGAGTCGAGATCCTTCCAAATATTTCGGGACCGATATGTACTCGAACATTCTAGATGTCGCTACAGTGGAAGGTTCTGGAAACTGTCTGAGGCCCTATATAAGGCCGGTATGGACCACGACCAAGGCAGTATTGAATTGGCGATAGAAGAGAATACTTCGAAGCGAAATAACGGCGAACTGTGTTTTATTATTAGTGTGATTTTAGATTGTAATTAGTGTTGTGTAATTCAGTGTCAATTTTGGTAATCCAATCGGCAGTTTTTAATTGTCTCGAACCCCAAGCTCGTAACAATATCATAATTTTTATCTCTTAAGTTTACCTTATAGCCACTTTTTACCATAGCGCTTACTGATAAGAGATTGGCAGCAAGTTTAGGTATGTATAGGACTTCTCTTACCTGAATTTTACCATTTATTTGTTAGTTCATTTAGTTGTTCATTACCATTTATCAATAAATTAACCTTTCCCATACTGTCCACAGGTAGTGGTGTCCTACTGGCAACAGTTATGGTGGGTATCGGTGGACTTGTTACATCATACATCCAGTCACATCTATTGGTCATGTGCATGGAGGCACCTGAGTCCACATACCAAAGGTCCGGATTCATTGTTTGTAAACATGCTGAAACTGCTGCAACAAAACTTTTATTTTCTTCTACTTTTTCAATATTCTTCTTCTTCGGAGCACGACAGTTCTTTGCAACGTGTCCGTGTTTGTTACAATTATAACATCGAGGCCCTTTCTGAGTACAGGCCTTTCCTGTAATATGATTTTTGTAAAAGGCTGTCTTCCTATTGAAGAATGCTGTGCTTTCTGAGCATTGAACTTCTTGCAGCAGTTTAGTTTTGATGGAGTCTGCACAGATCTTAATCCCTGAGCTCTCCAATCCCATTATCATTGGTTTATATACCTCGGGTAAGCCAGCCAACATCTGTGTTTCAAGCTATTCATCATCAATGTCAAATTTGATATTCGTAAGCTTATGAGCTGTTGGCATTATCTTATTCACATAATCATCTACATTTTGAGAATTGTCCAATGTAGTTGTGATGAAGTCTATCTATCAACAGGGCAGCTTTTCTGTATAACCCGCTGTCATCAAAAGCTTGCTGTAAGTTGTCCCAGACATCTTTGCATGTAGTTGCGCTCTGTAAATGCACGTAATTGATCGGATCAAACAGTAAAATAAGCTTAGATTTTGCCTTTATTTCTTTCCACGCACGCCGCTCCAGGTTAGGTTATGCGGTAGCCTCAAAATGTATGACGATGACGTGACGGACCAAATACGACGCCGCCGGATTTTGTTCTGCGTTTTTTTTTTTACTGTTTATGATTTTCATCAACCACGCTCTGTTACCATGTTGATATTTAAATTAGCAATGAATGCAACAAAAAATATTAATAATTGCGTTCTCATTTACTAACAAATACTCCAAATCAAAAGAGGTCCATATCCAGCAGCGAACATTTAGCGGCTGTTGAAGAAGAAATAGTGATAAAATATTCCTTATTATTATCATCTGATGCACCCGATGATTCCCGCTCATTCTTTTTTTATAAGATAGGGTGACAAATGAGCACACAGTCCACCTGATGGAAAGTGGTTGCTGTGACCCACAGACATCTACATCTGTCCTCGTTTGCGAATCAAAATGCAGATGCGTTGTCACTCGTCAGCACTAAGATGGAAGGCCTCTTTTCCAGTAAAATGGGTCTCCGGTTCTCTACAGTCACCATACGAAACAAAGCAGTGTCAAGCAGCCAATTTACTCTGGTATTCAGTGAGAGCGCGGACCTTCCCCGGTCGAGCCGACCTATTCGTGCTACAACTATACTACTAATATAACCACAGCATGACTCTACGACGTACAAAAATTCTACTACACCTATTTTAGTTAAATATATATATATATATATATATATATATATATATATATATATATATATATAAATATATTGAAGTTTATTCAGAAAATACTAGGGTGGTCTGAAAAGTTTCTAATCTCAACGTCAATATGACAGCACTCGTCAATAAAAGCTAGAGAATGTAGTTGTGCATCTTTAAACAAAAATTTCAGCCATTTTGGACACGTAGTTGTTATTTGACATTCGTTTGAAAGAGTTTATTTGATTTTTTTTGTGTACATTTTATGTATTTTTATGAAAAGCGCTTCGATATGACAACGAAAATGGTTATATGTGCCTAACCCAGTCTCCTTGCCGTCTTTCTACAATTAAAATTTACTTCGCATACATCCGCGCTATAATATAAAACGATGTGCCTTACCTAGTATGAAGAGCACCTCCCGCCCTCCCTCAATTGCTTGCACTATCCCCGTCACCACTAATCTCAGCACCGCTACTCCCAGCACCGCTATTCCCAACACCACTACACTAGGCAAGACACAGCACTGACGACAATACGATACGCGTTTCGCCTCTACACAAGGCATCCTCAGGTGATGTAGACTCTACGGTGGCTGACCGTTAAGTGTGTGGTGAGCCAAAACAACTACCTTTTATACAGACCGCTGACGCATCCGCTCCCTGCTTAAGGAGCGAGCGACCGCATCATGCGATAAAACATGCGACCAATCACCGCCGGACTTACGCAGCCGTTGGTAAAATTAAAAACAAACCGCCGCGCAACGCCCGCCTATCCTCCAACCACGCAACCAATCGCCGATCACCGTGAGGGTGACAAACGATCATACTGCGAGGGACCGTCTTGACAACGACTTGCTGAAGTACGCTATCGCAACCTCATGATCACCATTCCGTTAAGACAAAATACCACCAAGTCCTATACTACTTGCGTCTGTGTCAACTATAAATTCCTTGCCCACATCAGGGTACCCCAAAATAAGTGTTATGCACAGACGGTCCTTGAACTTCTGAAATGCGAAATCAAAACTTTCATCCCAGCAGAATTGTCGCTTCTCCTCGGTTAGCTTGTGCAGAGGTTTGGCTATATCTGCAAAGTTCTTCACAAATCGCCGATAATAAGAGTACAAACCCAAAAATGCTCTAACCTGTGTCTTGTCTTTTGGGACCGGCCACTTATTGACAGCAGCAATTTTCTCTGGATCCGTGCGGATACCTTCTTCCGACACTACATACCCCAAAAAACTAACTTGCCGTTTGAATAGTGAGCACTTCTTCGGACTCAACTTGAGGTTGGCACTCTGGATCTTTATGAGCACGCGTTCCAGGTTTTGAAGGTGTTCCTCAAACGTACGGCCTACGATGATGATGTCATCCAAATAGACGAGACAGGCATCTCCAATTAGCCCGGTAAGTACAAGCTCCATCAACCTTTCAAACGTTGCTGGAGCATTGCACAATCCAAACGGCATGACTTCAAATTGCCACAGGCCCTTTCCTGTGGAGAATGCAGTTTTCTCCTTGTCCTTAGGGTCAATTTCAACCTGCCAGTAGCCACTTTTCAGATCCAGCGTACTAAACCACTTTACGCCTGTAAGCATGTCCAGCGTGTCATCAATTCTTGGCAAGGGATAGCTGTCCTTCTTCGTAACGTCGTTCAGGCGGCGGTAGTCAACACAAAACCGCATGCTGCTGTCCTTCTTCTTTACGAGCACCACAGGCGAAGACCATGGACTAGATGAAGGTTCAATAACACTATCCTTCACCATTTCCTCAATCATGGTTTCCACTTCCTTTTTAAGTGTTACAGGCAATCTTCTTGGCCGCTGACGGATAGGCAATTCTTCTTCTGTAGTTATTTTGTGTTCAACAAAGCCAGTCTTTCCTATGTCAGCATCGTTTGACCAGAAAACATAGGCGTACTTGAGTAACAACTTCTGCGCCTTGACCATTTCATTCGGGGAGAGAACGCTGCGATAGTCTTCTAAAAGTGTGGTCACTCTAGTTTGTCCATCCTTGCTGGGGGTCCCAGTTGATAGATATTGACACCGACGCAACCAATCCACTTCCTCACATTTTCATTATAATCTGTTCCTGATCACAAAGGTTCAGCACACGTACTCCTGAGATGTCGGCGGTTTTGACCAAGGTTCAAGCCATTTTCCATGGAAAATGGCTCGAACCTTGGTCTTAGTACACAATGAAGAGTTTGCCTAGAATTCCGAGGAAGACTAACCGGCACAATCGTTTCAGATCTCGGCGGAAGGACAATCTTCTTAAGGTTGTACACATTTCCTGGTAACGCCTCTTCCACGATAAGCTCCTCTTGTCCACATTTTCAAACACCTTGCTTAACGTTGATCTCATAACAATTCTTCCTCATAAAGTCTAGGCTCAGGATTCAGTCGTCCATTATATCAGCCACGATGACATTACGTAGGTAGATCATGTTACCTAGATTCAACTCCATCTCCTTCTCTCCACGGACGGGTATGCGCTGACCGGTGGCTGTCACCAAATTACTGCGTTCTCGGTTGTATGTTGTAACTAATAAGTTGGGAACTGACAACCGTGCGAGAAGCTCCAGTGTCTATGGTCAGTTTACATGGCGTTCCGTTGACCTCGCCCTTGATAATTAGGCTGTTCCCATAACGGGTTTGTGAAATCGAAATCCTTGGGGCTCTTTTAACATCAGCCAGCACCTGCCCCGCAGTCCTGGCTGATGTTATAAGAGCCCCAAGTTTCCCTGCTGCTGCTGGGCGGTGCTATTAGCCACACTACTCTCTCAAGATCGATCACCTTCCCTTTCTACAGTTCGCTTAGGACAGCTGGATCGAAGATGGCCCCTTTCCCCACAGCCGTAGCACCTAGGGCTGTATCCTTTATTGCGGTGGCGAACTGTAGCTGTTGCAACCTCCCTGACGCGATAGGAACCGTGATATTGCCGCACGGCTTCCACCTCCAGTGCGTAGGTCAACGCTTCCTTAAGCATCTCGTGGTGCCCGAGCCTCACAGCAGCTCTGACTTCAAGGACGCGGATGCCGTCGATGAATGTCTGCACCAAGTTCCCTACAATGAGCGGAGGTACAGACTGGTAAGCTTTTCGAACCAGCTTCTCCACTACAAGGGCCCACTGCTGCAGGTTTTCGATGCTGCGTTGCACGTAAGCGTAGCGCGTCGAAAGTCGTGTTCCAGCTGAGCATCGCCATATCTCGCCTCCAATGCCTCAAGAAGCTGCTCGTAAGTCACTTCCTTACCGAGAGCTTTCAGAACAGCTAAGGCCTGGTCACGCAGGTCTAGGGTAAGAGTAGTCGTGGCCTGACTTTTATTCCAGCCGTTCGCCTTCATGACAGCCTCGAACTAAATTTTGTAGGCCAACCAGGAATAACTCCTGTCGAACGGCGGCACTTTGAATCCACGTAGTCAAGGTGTTGTAGCTACCACGGGAGCTGTAATTCCATCCCCAAGTTTGAGGTCGTCTAGCGTTTTCTCCATGTCAGCCATTACGTTGTCAACCCGATTGTTCACTTGGTTGATTCGGGTTTCAACTTCCGACAGGCGGTTGTCTTTCCCGAAGGCAGCGTGAAGGTCCTTCACGAGGAGCATCTGCCCTTCCATACCATACTGCAGCTGCTATTTCAACCAACGGGCCTGTTCCTCCTGTCGGCGGGCCTATTCCTCCTGTTGGTGGGTCTATTCCTCCTGCTGGCGGGCCTGCTCCTGCAGCATCATCATCAAAGTACCTAAGTCAGGTGCTGCAGATGCAGAAGCTGCTGGCGGGCCGGCCTCCGTGGTCGGCAGCTGACCCTCTGACTTCTGTGATCTTGCACCACCAAATCGTTACTGGTCCGTCTCCTGTTGGCGTTGACTACGGGTACGAATACCCTCCGTTTCGTCTTTATTTAAAATCGGCATGATTTGATCCCACTTCTGACACCAATTGTTACGACCTTGGGGTTCGAGACAATTAAAACTGCCGAGTGAATTACCAAAATTGAAACTTTAATTACAGAACACTAATCACAACTTAAGATCACCTAATAATAAAACACAATTGTTCTACTGATCACTTAAGTTCGCCGTTGTATTGCTTTGAAGTATTTGCTTGTATCGCCAATTCAATAATGATTCGATCGTGGTCTATACCGGCCTTATATAGGGTCTCAGATCGTTTCCAGAACCTTCTACTGTAGAAACATACTACTAGAATGTTCGAGTTCATATCGGTCCAGAAATTTCTAGAAGGATCTTGACTCTCCTAGTTCTGCTACTTGATACTAGAGGGCGCTAGTGGTAACTAGTGTTGCCATGTACAAGACAATAATAGTGGCGCACAACAATATTTTTATGGTCTGAAAATGAAGACTTAATGATAGCCATATGAAATTTTTTGTTTTTGAGGTTTGTAGAAACATGATCTATAATAGTTAATCAACGTTGGTGACACACGAGTGCTGTGCACTACACTAACAATTTTGTTAAATAATTTTAAACCAGTAGATCATTATACAGCGTTGTCTTAGTATCGCATAACAAAAGATCTACAAATATATTTTATGAGAACAAATTATAACAGGAAACTATTGAAACATCGGCCAGATGTTCTCACACATGAATATTATAAATTATTGTGAAAAAACCAGTTAATAGATATATATTTATTAACTCGTTTTTTCATAACTTAATTTCTTTGTTTTAAATATGTAATATAAAACATATTTAAAACAAATAAATTACGTAATTATACAAATAATTAGCAATATGACTTACCTCCACTGGTCGTGCACTCCATGTTTCATATTTCGGCCACAAAATGGCATAATGTCTTTGATTGTCAAGGACAACCAAGCTAAAAACATGTTACTAATGTATCCTCTAATCAGTTAACGTTGGCGCAAATTTTCGAAATATCTTAGAACAATTGTTATGTCCTCGTATGAGAATATTGTGTCACCAGGACTTCATTACACCGATTAAAGTATTTATACGTGGTAGAGCCACGCAGCAGCTATATTATAGTTGTACTACGAATGGCTTGGCTCGACCGGGATAGGACCACGCTCTAACAGAATATCAGCGTAAAATAGCAGCCTAATGTTGCTGTGTTTGCTATGGTGAGTGTAGAGAACTGGAGACCCTTTTTACTGGAAACATGGCATTAAATCTTACTCCTCAGGGGTGACAACATATCTGCATTTTGATTCTTAATTGAGAATAAATATAGATATCTATGAGCCACAGCATCCACATACCATCAGGTGGACTGTGTGCTCGTTTGTCACTAATATATATATATGGCTGGGACGAAACTAATTTTTAGTAAAGTCCTTGTAAGAGAACATTGGGGCGCAGTAGGTCATTACCATCACGACGACCACCACCACCACAGCCACCACCAATCATTACTATCATCTATATTTTTACAGCCACTAACAAGTAAAATGATGAACATAATATGCCCTCCTAAGTTATGTTCTCATCAAAAATTCCTATTCAATAATCAGGTAATAAGCATTTCCATTTGATAATATAAAAGAGCATATCTCTGTAAACTGTAACAATTCTATGCTATAACTCGATTTTGGGATATATGAAACTAATGCTTGAAATTGACGTTTGGAATTTATTTTTAATACTATGTTAAACTTGTAAGAATCTGCTCGTGTAAGAGAAATTGTATGAAATATTTTTCAAACAGTGAATAAATATCCCTATATTAAAGCTAGTATAAAATTATGTCTTACTATCTTCCCATTATTCTTAGCTGTGAAACGATATAAGGATCCTAGTGATAGTACCGATTTCTACTATGGCGAAAACTTCCAAATATTTTCGGGACCTGAGCAATGGCGTGGTACATTTACTGTGCTACGTATCCATTATACGTGCTAGGGCAATAACTCGTATTGCAACGACTCTCTTAATCAGCACCGTATTATTCGCATGCGTTGCACGCGTAAGTACTATTCTGCCATTCTGCCCCCCCCCCCCCCTTGATGATTGTCTCGACTGCGGAATTTGCGACCGCATTTTTTTTTGTTTAAGTTAAAGGTAAGCGTTTATCCCCAAAGCTACCACATATTATGCTGCGAACTGGATTGTGTAACCACACTAGTGAACTTTCGTCAAACCCTTTGTTATTCATTTTGCGGTCATACCGTGTTTTCATCTTCTCAGAAGTTTGCTGGCCCGACTGTCTGACGTGCTCATAAATGTCATTCATTTTGTTCTGCAAGTCATTTGCATTATCGGTTATACTGCGTGGGGCAACTGGTGGTATTCTGGTGATCAGGTCTGCAGGCAGCCGTAATTCTCTTCCAAAGTTTGTGAAAGCTGGTGTCACTGATGTATTTTCGTGAACAGCGCTTCGATATGACAACGAAAACTGTTATATGTGCCTGTCCCAGTCTGGTTGCTGTCTTTCCACAATATAAAAGCTTTTAAGAAATTTACTTCGCAAACATCCGCGCTATAAAATAAAACGATGTGCCTTACCTAGTATGAAGAGCACCTCCCGCCCTCCCTCAATTGCTTGCACTATCCCCGTCATCACTAATTCCAGCACCGCTACTCCCAGCACCGCTACTCCCAACACCACTACACTAGGCAAGACACACCACTGACGGCAATACGATACGTGTTTCGCCTCTACACGAGGCATCCTCAGATGACGTAGACTCTACGGTGGCTGACCGTTAAGTGTGCGGTGAGCCAAAACAACTGCCTTTTATACAGACCGCTGATGCAACCGCTTCCTGCTTAAGGAGCG